CTATCTCATGATAGTTTGATATCCATCCTACCACAGTGGTGTCATCAGCAAACTTATAGATGACATTCATTGGGAATTTGGCTACACAGCTGTGAGTGTACAGGGAGCTGAGGACGCATCCTTGGGGCAGCTCCAGTGGGTGTTGAGTGTTATTGTGAAGGATGTGCAGTTACCTATCCTCACTGATTGCGTTCTGTGAGTCAGGAAGCTGAGGATCCAGTTGCAGAGGGTGGGGCCAAGACCAAGGTCACACAGTTTAGAGATCAGTCTGAAGGGGATAACGGTGTTGAAGGTGGAGCTGTAGTCAACAGGCAGGAGTCTGACGTAATCTGCATTTGGAGAGGCAGGGGATTAACCAAGAACAGTCAGCATGATTTTGATAAAGGAAGTTCCGAGGAAGGGTCACCAGACCTGAAAACTTAACTCTGATTTTTTCTTCACAGATGCTGCCAGACCTGCTGAGCTTTCCCAGCAACTTCTGTTTTTGTCAGAGACAGTAAGAACTGCAGATGCTGGAGTCAGAGATAACACAGTGTGTAGCTGGAGGAGCACAGCAGGCCAGACAGCATCAGAGGGGCAGGAAAGCTGATGTTTCGGGTTGGGACCCTTCTTCAGAAAAAAGTTGTGTTTGTAAAGGGAAGGTCATGTCTAACAACTTGACTGAATTTTTTTTAAAGAGGTAACCAAGTGTATAGATGAAGGCAATGCTTTTGACGTAGTCTTTGCTGTTTGTGGTATATTTAAATGATTTAGACTTGAACATAGGAGAATTGATCAGTCAGTTCAGAGATGATACGAAAATTGGTAGGATGGTAAATAGTGAGGAGGATAGTCTTAGATTACAGGAGGATATAGACAGGCTGGTCAGATGGGCTTTTTTTTCCTTTATTCATTCACAGGCTGAGGGCATCGCTGGCCAGGCAGCATTTATTGCCCAGACGGCAGTTAAGAGTCAACCACATTGCTGTGGGTCTGGAGTCACATGTAGGCCAGACCAGGTAAGGATGGCAGTTTCCTTCCCTAAAGGACATTGGTGAACCAGATGGGTTTTTCCTGACAATCAACAATGGATTCATGGTCATCATTAGGTTCCTAATTCCAGATATTTTTATTAAATTCAAATTCCACTATCTGCCTTGGCAGAAGTTGAACCTGGGTCGCTAGAACATTATCTGGGTCGCTGGATTAACTATGGTAATACCACTAGGCCATCGCTGGTCAGTAGCAAATGGGATTCAATCCGGATAAATGTGAGGTGATGATGCACTTGGGCAGGACAAACAAGGCAAGGGAACATATGATGAACAGCAGGTCCCTGGGAAGCCCCGAGGATCAGAGGGACCCTGGTGTGCATATACAACAGTCCCTTAAGGTATAAGGGCAGGTGGATAAAGTGAAGAAGGATATGGTATACTTGCCTTTATTAGCAGAGGGATAGAGTTGAAAAGCAGGAAAGTTATGCAGGGACTGTATAAAACATTGGTTAGGCCACAGGTGGAGTATTGTGTGCAGTTCTGGAACCCACATTATCAGAGGGGTGTGACAGGACTGGAGAGGGTGCAGAGGGAGATTTACCAGAGTGTTGCCTGAGCTGGAGAGTTTGGAAAGACTAGGGTTGTTTTCCTTGCAGCAGAGGAGTCTGAGGTGGAACATGATTGAGATGTATAAAGTTATGAAGTGTATAGATAGGGGAGACAGGAAGGAACTTTTCCCTTGGTGGAGGGATCAATGACCAGGGAAATAAGGTGAGGAGCAGGAGGTTTAGAGGGAATGTGAAGAAAATGTTTTTCACTAAAGGGTGGTGGAAATCTGGAACTCACTGCCTGTAAGGGTGGTAGAAGCAGAAACCCTCATGATATTTAAGGAGTATATAGAGGTGCATTTGCAATGACAAAGCATACAAGTCTGAGGGCCAAGTGCTAGTATAGTTAGGAGGTTTTATTTATTTATTTGTTCATGGGATGTGGGCATCTCTGCGTTGTTCAGCATTTATTGCCTGTCCCTTGCTGCCCTTGAGAAAGCGAGCGGTGGTGAGCTGCCTTCTTGAACAGCAGCAGTACCCTGCTGTAGATTGACCCACAATGCCCTTAAGTAGAAAATTTCAGGATTTTGACACAGTGATACTGAAGGAATGATGATATATTTCCAAGTCAAGATGGTGAGTGGCTCAGAGGAGAACTTTCAGGGGTTGGTGTTCCCAAGTATCTGCTGCCCTTGTCCTTCAAGATGGAAGTGGTTCTGGTTTTGGAAGGTGCTGTCTGAGGATCTTTTGGTGAATTTCTGCAGAGCATCTTGTAGATAGTACACACTGCTGCTACTGAGCGTCGGTGGTGGAGGGAGTGGATGCTTGTGGATGTAATGCCTATCAAGCGGCTGCTTTGTCCTGGATGGTGTCAAGCTTCTTGAGTGTTGTTGGGGCTACACCCATCCAGGCAAGTGGGGAGTATTCCATCACACTCCTGACTTGTGCCTTGTAGATGGTGGACAGGCTTTGAGGGGTCTGGAGGTGAGTTACTCGCTGCAATATTCCTAAACTCTGACCTGATCTTGTAGCCACTGTGTTAATGTGGTGAGTCCAGTTGAGTTTCTGGTTAAATGTAACCCCCAGGATGTTGATGGTGGGGGATTCAGTGACGGTAACACCATTGAATGTCAAGGGGTGATGGTTAGATTATCTCTTATTGGTGATGGTCATTGCCTGGCATTTGTGTGGCATGAGTTTTACTTGCTACTTGTCAGCCCAAGCCTGGATATTGTCCATATCTTGTTGCCTTTGAACATTGACAGCTTCCATATCAGAGGAATCATAAATGGTGCTGAACATTGTGCAATCATTGGCAAACATCCCCAGTTCTGACCTTACGATGGAGGGAAGGTCATTGACTGCAGACTAGTCTTGCAGCATTCAAGTTGGATGACCCAGACCAATACAGAAAATCCAGATCTTACCTCCACAAAGCCATCAGGGATGCCAAGAGGCAGTACCGGACCAAACTAAGGGCCCAAACTAGCCATACAGACACCCACCACCTGTGGCAAGGCCTACACAACATTACAGGATACAAAATGAAGCAGCGCAAGATAAGGGACAAAATCGCATCCCTCCCTAATACTCTCAATGCTTTCTATGCTCAGTTCGAGCAGAATGGTGTAATACCTGACCTGACAGCTCTGGACACACCTGATCCCTCTGTCACTGCTGCTGATGTCAGATCGGTCTTCCTGAGATTAACCCAAGGAAAGTGACAGCACAGATGGAGTCCCTAGCCGAGCACTCAGATCCTGTGCGGACCAACTGGTGAAGGTATTCACCAACATCTTCAACCTCTCCCTCCTACAGGCCAAAGTCCCCACCTACTTCAAGAAGACCACCATCATCCCAGTACCTGAGAAAGCACATGCAACGTCCTTTAATGACTACTGCCCAGTGGCTGTGACTTCAATAATCATGAAGTGCTTCAAGAGGCTGGTCATGGCCCACATCAACTCCAGCTCCCAGCCTGCCTCAATTCCCTACAATTTGCTTACTGATGTAACAAGTCCACAGTGGACACCATTTCCCTAGCCCTGCACTCATTGCTGGAACATCTGGACAACAAGGACACCTACGTCAGACTCCTGCTCATCGACTACAGCTGGGCCTTCAACACCATAATCCCCTCCAGACTGACCTCAAAACTGCGTGACCTTGGTTTCAGCTCTGCCCTCTGCAATTGGATCCTCAGCTTTCCGACTCACAGACCACAATCAATAAAGATAGACAACTGCACCTCAACACTGGAACCCCCCAGGGATATGTCCTCAGCTCCCTGCTGTATTCCCTGTACACCCATGACTGTGTTGCCAAATTCCAAATGAATGCCATCTACAAGTTTGTTGACAACACCACCATGGTAGGACAGATATCAAACAACAATAAGTCAGAATACAGTAAGGAAATAGAGTGCTTGGTGTTGTAGTGTAATGATAACAAGCTCTCTTTCAATGTTGGAACTAATCATTGACTTCAGCAAGAAGGGAGGAGAACACGCCCCATCTACATCAAAGGAGCAGAGGTTGAGACAGTGGAGAGCGTCAAGTTCCTGGGAGTGATGATAACCAACAACCTGTCCTGGACTGCCCACATAGATGCAATGATCAAGAAGTCACAACAATGCCTCTTCTTCCTCAAGCAGCTCAGGAAATTTGCATGTACATAAGGACCCTCACCAGCTCTTTTGTCCATGTTTGAACCAAGGCTGTAATGAGGACTGAAGCTGAGTGGCCCTTGCGGAACCCAAACTGGGCGTCACTGAGCAGGTTATTGCTGAGCAGGTGCTGCTTGAAAGCGTTGTTACTGACACCTTCCTCTGATGATCGAGAGTAGTCTGATGGGACAGTAATTAGCTGGGTTGGATTTATCCTGCTTTTTGTGATACGCAGGCAATTTTCCACATTGTTGGGTAGATGCCAGTGTTGTAATTGTACTGGAACAGCTTGGCTGGAGGAGCGGTAAGTTCCGGAGCATAAGTTTTCAGTACTATTGCCGGAATGTTGTCAGGACCCAGACATAGTCTTTGCAGTGTCCAGTGCCTTCAACCATTTCTTTATCATGTGGAATGAATTGAATTGGCTGAAGACAGGCATCTATGACGCTGGGGACCACTGAAGGAGGCCGAGATGGATCTTTCACTTGGCACTTCTGGCTGAAGATTGTTGCAAATGTTTCAGCCTTATCTCTTGCACTGGTGCAGACTAGATGGCCTGAAGGGCTTTTTTCAGTGTTGTCATCCTCTATGACTCTGAGAGGCCACAACCAGATCAGTCAAGATTTTGTCAAATGGTGGTGCATGCTCCAGGGACTGAATGGCCTCATCATGCTCCTAATGCAGATGTTCTTTTGGACTGCAGCAGGAAGAGAGCACGGTCAGTAACCTTGGCTTTGACATAACCGTGCTGTATGGACCCTCTTTTCTGACGTTTTTGTGCTGTTTTCTGACAAGGTCCTCTCTCCATTTCAGGCTATTCATGATGCAGAGGAGCTGCTGGCGGAAAAGAGAGCGGCAGTCGCAAGGGCGGAAGATAAACTCTCCTTTGCCAAGCTGGAACTGAGAGAGAAACTGCAGAGAGGCAAGTACCAGTTCTAACCAGTCCAGCTCCAGGACTGAGCCCTGGGCTACTCCAGCCCCCAGGGTGATTGTCCTTATTTAATCCTGATGTGGAGCTGCTGGTGTTGGACTGGGATGGACAGGGTCAGAAATCACACGACACCAGGTGACAGTTCAACAGGTTTATTTGAAAACACAAGCTTTCAGAGTTTCGCTCTTTCTTCAGGTGTTAGTGAGAGAGATAGTATCAGACACAGAACTTATTACATAAAAGATCAAAGGGTCACAGCACTGATGAAGATGTATTAAACAAACCTAAGAAGCTGTTAAATCTTTAATCAGTTAGAAGGTTTTAATTGATTAATTTGTATATGTAAATCCCCAAATTTCTTTCAAGTCACTGTCTGAGAGAACTAGATTTTGTCAGTGTAAAGAAGAGGTGACATTTTAGTTCAGACAATGCAAGTTAGGTGTGAGGCCTTATTTAGAACCTGTTTGTGTTTTGGTTTGGAGTCAGACTGGTTTTAATTCTAAAGTAGGAATTTATGAAATGCCATATTAATTGGTAGTCTATAAATTGTGTGCTTTTTGAACAAAATAGAATCTCTCTGCAAGTACAAAGTCACCCCATAGATTTACGCGCGTGTGTGTGAGAGGGAGAGAATGTGAGAGGGTGAGTGTGTGTGAGAGATTGTATAGTGGGGTGGGGTCACCTGTAGTGCAACATGAACCCAAGATCCCAGTTGAGGCCGTCCTCATAGGGACAGAATGTAGCTATCAGTCTCTGCTCGGCAATTGCATTGTTGTGTATCCCAAAATCCGCTTTGGAGGGCAAAGATCCAAGGCTGAAAGTCCTTGACCACTGAAGTGTTCTCCCCACTGGGAGGGAACATTCCTATAAGACCATAAGAGCAGAAATTAGGCCATTCAGCCCATCGAGTCTGCTCCATCATTCAATCATGGCTGATAAGTTCCTCAACCCCATTCTCCTGCTTTCTGCACGTAACCCTTGATCCCCTTGATAATCAAGGGCCTTTCTATCTCAGTCCTAAATGTACTCAATGACCTGGCCTCCACAGCCTTCTGTGGCAGTGAATTCCGTAGATTCACCACTCTCTGGCTGAAGAAGTTTCTCCTTATCTCCGTTCTAAAAGGTCTTCCCTTTACTCTAAGGCTGTGCCCTTGGCACCTAGTCTCTCCTACCAGTGGAAGCATCTTCCCAACATCCACTCTGTCCAGGCCATTCACTATTCTGTAAGTTTCAATTAGATCCCCCTCATTCTTTTAAACTCCAATGAGTATATCCCAGAGCCCTCAAATGTCCCTCATATGTTAAGCTGACCATTCTCGTGACCCTCCTCTGAACCTGTTCCAGGGCCAGTACATCCTTCCTGAGATATGGGCCCCAAAGCTGCACACAATACTCCAAATGTGGCCTGACCAGAGCCTTCCAAAGCCTCAGTAGTACATCCCTGCTTTTATATTCAAGTCCTCTCAAAATAAGTGCCACATTGCATTTGCCTTCCTGACTACTGACTCAACCTGCAAGTTTACCTTGAGAGAATCCTGAACTAGAACTCCCAAGTCTCTTTGCACTTCAGACTTCTGAATTTTCTCCCCATTGAGAAAATAGTCCATGTTTTTATTCTTCTTACCAAAGTGCATGACCTCACACTTTCCCACTTTGTATTCTCTTTTGGTGATTGTTGCGCGGTGTCCATTCATCCATTGTCATAGCGTCTCCATGGTCCCACCAATATACCCTGCCCCGGGGCATCCTTGCCTGCAGCGTATGGGATAGACAATGTTGGCCGAGTCACATGACTATCTGCCGTGTACGTGGTGGGTGGTGTTCCCACGTGTGATGGCAGTGTCCATGTCGATGATCTGACATGTCTTACAGAGGTTGCCATGACAGTGTTGTATAGTGTTGTGGTTGATGTTGTCCTGAAGGCTGGGTAGTTTGCTGTGAACAATGGTCTGTTTAAGATTTGGCAGTTGTTTGAAGGTGAGAAGTGGAGACATGGGGAAGATCCTGGTAAGGTGCTCATCGTCATCGATAATGTGTTGAAGGCTGTGAAGAACCTGATGTAGTTTTTCCGCTCCCGGGAAGTACTGGATGACGAAGGGTACCCTATTGGACATACCCCGTGTCTGTCTTTTGAGGAGGTCATTACAGTTTTTCACTGTGGCACATCAGAACCAGCAATCGATAAGTTGAGCGTCGTATCTTGTTCCTATGAGGGCATCCTTCAACACCTTCAAGTGTCTGTCTCATTCATCTTCATCTGAGCAGATCCTGCGTATATGTACGGCTTGTCCATAGGGGATGGCTGTTTTAATATGTTTTGGGTGGTAGCTAGAGAAGTGCAGCATCATAAAATTATCCGTGGGCTTACAGTAGAGTGAGGTACTGAGGTGTCTGTCCCTGATGGAGATGTGTGTGTCCAAGAATGACAGCGATTCTAAAGAATAGTCCATGGTAAGTCTGATGGTGAGATGAAACTTGCTGATATCACTATGTAGTTGTTTCAGTGATTCCTCGCCATGAGTCCAAAGGAAGAAAATGTTGTCAATGTATCTGGTGTATAGTGTTGGTCAGAGGTTCTGTACAGCAAAGAAGTCTTATTCAAACCTGTGCATGAAAATGTTGGCATATTGGGAAGCAAATCTGGACCCATCTATCGCCCACCGCCGACGCCGCTCCGCCCATCACAGAAGCCGACGCAACTCCGCCCACAGCCTATGCCGACGCAACTCCGCCCACAGCCGACGCCAACGTCGCTCCGCCCACAGCCTCCACAGCCAGCAGCTCCAGAGGGGACAATAGCACCCAGCCCTGCCAAGTCTTCACCATCCCCCCAGACCTCCCCCTTACTGAGGACGAATGGTCAGTCCTCAGTAAAGGGCTCACCTTTGTCCCCCTCCACCCACACATCAACGAATACCGCTCACGTTTGGACATAGAGCAGTTTTTCCGCCGCCTCCGCCTCCACGCTTACTACTTCAACCGTGAACCTAACCCTCTCTCTACTGACCCCTTCTCCCACCTCCAACACACCCCTCCTCCTGGACACCACCCCAAGGCCTCCTACCCACCCTCGACCTCTTCATCTCCAACTGCCGTCGAGACATCAATCGCCTCAACCTCTCCACCCCTCTCACCCACTCCAACCTCTCCCCCGCAGAACGTGCAGCCCTCCGCTCCCTCTGCTCCAATCCCAACCTCACCATAAAACCCGCGGACAAGGGAGGCGCAGTTGTAGTATGGCGCACTGACCTCGACATCACCAAGGCCAGAAGCCAACTCTCCGACACCTCCTCCTACCGCCTCCTTGATCATGACCCCACCCCCGAGCACCAAACCATCCACAACCTCATCACCTCAGGTGACCTCCCACCCACGGCCTCCAACTTCATCGTTCCCCAACCCCGCACCGCCCGCTTCTATCTCCTTCCCAAAATCCACAAACCGGAATGCCCTGGTCGACCCATTGTCTCCGCCTGCTCCTGCCCCACCGAACTTATCTCCAACTATCTTGACTCCATTTTCTCCCCCTTGGTCCAGGAACTCCCTACCTATGTCCGTGACACCACCCACGCCCTCCACCTTCTCCAGAACTTCCAATTCCCCGGTCCCCAACACCTCATCTTTACCATGGACGTCCAGTCCCTATACACCTGCATTCCCTATACAGATGGCCTAAAGGCCCTCCGCTTCTTCCTGTCCCGCAGGCCCAACCAGTCCCCCTCCACTGACACCTTCATCTACTTAGCCGAACTCGTCCTCACCCTCAACAACTTCTCTTTCAATTCCTCCTACTTCCTACAGACAAAGGGGGTGGCCACGGGTACCCGCATGGGCCCAAGCTATGCCTGCCTCTTTGTAGGTTACGTGGAACAATCCCTCTTTCGTACCTACACTGGCCCTAAACCCCACCTCTTCCTCCGTTACATTGATGACTGTATCGGCGCCGCCTTGTGCTCCCATGAGGAGCTCGAACAGTTCATACACTTCACCAACACCTTCCACCCCAACCTTAAGTTCACCTGGACCATCTCTAATACCTCTCTCTCATTCCTGGACCTCTCTGTCTCCATCTTGGGCAACCACCTAGAAACCGATATCCATTTCAAGCCCACCGACTCCCACAGCTACCTAGAATACACCTCCTCCCACCCACCTTCCTGCAAAAATGCCATCTCCTATTCCCAATTCCTTCGCCTCCGCTGCATCTGCTCCCAGGATGAGGCATTCCACTCCCGTACATCTCAGATGTCCTCGTTTTTTCAAGGAACGCAACTTCCCCCCCCTCAGTGGTCGAGAATGCCCTCCACCGTGTCTCCCACATTTCCCGCAACTCATCCCTCACACCCCGTCCCCGCAATAACAACCAAAAAAGAATCCCCCTCGTCCTCACGTACCACCCCACCAACCTCCGGATCCAACGCATCATCCTCCGACACTTCCGCCATCTGCAATCCGACCCCACCACCAAAGACATTTTTCCCTCCCCACCCTTATCTGCTTTCCGGAGGGACCACTCTCTCCGTGACTCCCTTGTCCGCTCCACACTCCCCTCCAGCCCCACCACACCCGGCACTTTTCCCTGCAACCACAGGAAGTGCTACACCTGCCCCCATACCTCCTCCCTCACCCCCATCCCAGGCCCCAAGAAGACTTTCCACATTAAGCAGATGTTCACCTGCACATCTGCCAATGTGGTATACTGCATCCGCTGTACCCGTTGGTTTCCCCGATGTAGAGGTGGCCACAAGCGGAGCCTCAGGGGCTGCTTTGCAGAACACCTACGCTCAGTTTGCAATAAACAACTGCACCTCCCCTCGCGAACCATTTCAACTCCCCCTCCCATTCCTCAGACGACATGTCCATCCTGGGCTTCCTGCAGTGCCACAACGATGCCACCCGAAGGTTGCAGGAACAGCAACTCATATTCTGCTTGGGAACCCTGTAGCCCAATGGTATCAATGTGGATTTCACAAGCTTCAAAATCTCCCCTCCCCCTACCGCATCCCAA